TTTTTTTTAAAGATTTTTTTATTTATTTTTTGCCCCCAAAGCCCCAGTAGATAGTTGTATGTCACAGCTGCACACCCTTCTAGTTGCTGTATGTGGGACTCGGCCTCAGGCTGGACAGAGAAGCGGTGCCTCGATGCGCACCCGGGATCCGAACCCGGGCCGCCAGCATCGCAGCGCGCGCACTTAACCACCAAGCCACAGGGCCGGCCCATCCATGACTTCTTATTGCTCCTGTAGACACTGGCAGTGTGTGCTTATTGATATGCTTGAAGACCCTGGGGTTCTCACTGTGCCAGATCACAAAGGGTTTCCATTTGTAGCCTGCAACATTGCCCCCAAGCAAGACTTGCCCCCAAGTTATCCTGTCCTTAAAAGCCTGGAAACTCGGCATTGACTTGGCCTCCTTATGGATGAAAGTCCTCTCAGGCATCTGTTTACAGAATAGGAAGCTTTCATCCATATTGAATATTATCTCTGCCAAGAAATTCTTCTCTACAACCAGCTTATCTAGAGTTTCCAAAAATTCTTCAGCTGCCTTCACATCAGCACCCACAGACTCACTACTCACGTTCACATTATGTAATAAATAATGATTCTTGAATCGTTTAAACTACCCAGAGCTAAGAGAAAATTCAATATTGTAGTCAGGTCCAGCTTTTTCTTTCAATATCGCAAACAGACTCTTTGCTCTGGCTGTAATCTCTGTGATGTTGAGAGGGATATGCTTCTGTGTCTGGTCTTCAATCCTGGTCATCAGAAGTTTCTCCATGTCTGATACAGGCCCTTCACAAATTTTTGTTAGTCTCATAGCCTGCAATGAAGCGGATACTTTAACAGTGTCCGTCACTTTGTTATTGTTCTTCAAGATCGTAGCTATGGTGGAAGGGGACACACCTAACTGGTGAGCAATAACCATCACTGATTTTCCATCTTCGTAGTCTTAATCACTTTTTATTTTGATTCCAGGTCAGTCACTTGATGTGGCTTCTTACTGGCAACATTAGCTGTGGATTTTGTATGCTTAGGGGCCATGATGAACAAAACAATACAAGATTAAATCAAGCACAAGAGAAAATGATGCGATCAAGAGACACAGCAAACACAAGATGTGTGAGGCTGCTGCCAGCGTAACACAGCATATTGGGGTTTGTTTGTGTTTTTTTTTGGTGAGGAAGATTGGCCTTGAGCTAACATCTGTGCCAATCTTTCTCCAGTTTGTATGTGGGATGCCACCACAGCATGGCCTGATGAACGATATGTAGGTCTGCGCCCGGGATCTGAACCCGCGAACCCCAGAAGCAGAGACCGTGAACCCAACCACTACACCACTAGGCCGGCCCCACAGTGTTTTACAGTGAGCTTTTTTTTTATGAATAGAAAGAGTACACTGTAAAATAATGATAAAAAGTATAGTATAGTACATAAACCAGCAACATAGTCGTTTGTTATCATTATTGAGTATAATGTACTGTACACAATTGTATGTGCTATACTTTTATACAACCCGCAGCGCAGGTTTTACACCACAAACACGTGAGTAATGCATTGCGCTATGACAGCTACGATGTCATAAGTGGTAAGAATTTTTCAGCTCCATTCTAATCTCATGGCACCACCATCATATATGCCGTCTGTCACTGACTGAAACGTCGTTATGTGGCACATGACTGTATTTCATATTGTTAGGATAATAATGCTACTCAAAGCAATCTATGAATTCAATGCAATCTCTATCAATATCCCAATGGTGTTTTTTGCAGAAATAGAAAAACCCATCCTAAAATTCATATAGAATTGCAAGGGGCCTTGAATAACTAAAACAATCTTGAAAAAGAAGAAAAAAGTTGGGGCCGGCCCCGTGGCTTAGCGGTTAGGTGCGCGCGCTCCACTGCTGGCTGCCCGGGTTCGGATCCCGGGTGCGCACTGACGCACCGCTTCTCCGGCCATGCTGAGGCCGCGTCCCACGTACAGCGGCTGGAAGGATGTGCAGCTATGACATACAACTATCTACTGGGGCTTTGGGGGAAAATAAATAAATAAATAAACATTAAAAAGAAGAAAAAAGTTGGAGGACTCACACTCCCCGAGCTCAAAACTTACTACAAAGCTACAGTGCTCAGGGCCGGCCCCGTGGCTTGGTGGTTAAGTGAGCGCGCTCCACTGCTGGCGACCCGGGTTCGGATCCCGGGCTCACACCAACGCGCTGCTTCTCTGGCCATGCTGAGGCCGCGTCCCACATACAGCAACTAGAAGGATGTGCAGCTATGACACACAACTATCTACTGGGGCTTTGGGGGGAAAAATAAATAAATAAAATCTTTAAAAAAAAAAAAAAAAAAGCTACAGTGCTCAAGATAGTGTGGTAGAAGCCTAAGGACAGGCATACAGACGAACGGAAGAGAACAGGGTCCAGAAATAAACCCTCATCTATACGGTCAATTAATTTTCAACAAGTGGCCACGAGCATTCAACGGGGAAGAGGCAGTCTTTTCAACAAATGGTGCTGGGAAAACTGGATATCCACATGCAAAAAAGAAGGAACGTGGACCTCTATCTTACAGCGTATAGAAATATTAACTCAAAATGGATCAAACACCTAAAATTAAGGGCTAAAACTATAAAACTCATAGAAGAAAACATAGAAGTAAACCTTAACGACCTTGGATTTGTTGTTTTCTTAAATATCACAACAAAAGCCCAGGCAATAAAAAAAATAAACTGTATTTCATCAAAATGGAAAACTTTCATGCTTCAAAGGAAACTACCAAGGGCTGGCCCCATGGCTTAGTGGTTAAGTGCGTGCGCTCCGCTGCTGGCGGCCCAGGTTCGGATCCCGGGCGTGCACCAACGCACCGCTTCTCTGGCCATGCTGAGG